AGCATTGTCGGCTGCCTCAGCCTCCGCCGTAGCCAGCTCAGCAGCTCGATGCTTCCGCAGCGCTGCTCGCGCAAGCTGACCTCTCTCGGCGAGCTGGGCTGGGTTGAGGAGGGACAATTGCAAGTCTGATGACGGGCGCGCTCTTGACGAAGAACTGGAATCTGACTGCGACTGGGGCCCGATGCCGCCGAAGGGCCTCTTGTTCCCTGCCTCCTTCGCTTCGTTTCCTCGGTCAGCTAAGTCCTGGTACTTCTGGATGCCCTCAGGTCCGAGTTCCTTGTACATGATGGACAACTGCTGCAGCGAGGGCCGAGCCGCCCCCTTCAGCCCGACAGTTTGTTCACCGCGAAAAGCATCCCAAGATGATAGTTTGCGAGATTTTGCCTTCGGCTGGTCGCCTTGGCCGTCACTGCCAGCAGCTTCAGGCGCATCTCCACGCTCGGCCCTGGCGGCCCTGGCAATTGATTTGAACCCCCAACAACCTCTGGCTAGCGACTCCAGCTGTTCATTGATCCAATAAGTATTCAACCCAGCCATATCAAGCACTCGTCGCTGCACGGACCTGCCCACTTGGAAACGTCTGTTTTTCTGATGTCTGTACTCGATCTGCACTGTCTCATCTGACATGAGGAGCGCTGTGCTCCGCAGGTCGGCCTGAGCACTGGGAGACAGCAAGTCTTTATGGAACCGGACAAACTCTGCAGACCACTCGTCCAAGCGCTTCCCACACTCTGAATCCGCTAGAACTTCATCGGCAAGATCAGGTCGGTTGATGATCCCGAAAGTCGTGTACGGGTAGTTCTTGTGAGCCGCGCGCAGCTCGTTCATAATGCAGGCCCCTCGAGCCAACAACGTAAATACCTCGGTATGCCAAGCCTTTGTTCGACGCGATGCTGGTATCATCGCCCAAGCATCAGGGTTCGCCATCAGCGCCAAAGTCTCATCGATGAACGTGCTCTCGACGACGCCTTCGTACGCCAAAGGAAGCCTCATCTCCCGCTTCGGCCTCGCACCAAGGTCGCTACCAGCAGCGCCCCCCTGGCGCGCTGCATTGATCTCGATCGTTTTCTGCTTGTTCTCCCATTTCTCCCCAGCAATGCACAGCAGCTTGTCCATTACCTTGATATGCGGGCCTAGGGCGGTGAACAGAATGACGCTCTCGACCAGGACATTCCCAGACTGAATCCATGCACGCACTGACTGCCGAAACCTGTGCTGTTCTCGTTTTTTTCTTCCTCGACGCTGGACTCCGAGGGCTTCTCACATTTGGCCGCAGGATCCGCTGCAGCGCCAGGGCCTATGCCTATGCCGCCATCGGCATCGTCACCAGCATCTTCTGCGTGATCATCTTCTATTGGGAGCGGCAAGGCGTCGTCGTCGTCGACATCACCGCCCACCACAATCATAGCTGCAGCACTCCCCGCTCGAACGCTGCACAAGGTCTCAGCGTAGTCCATATGCGCACGCGAGAACACCCCGAACACCAACTCCATTATGCTGCACCATTGAACGCAGTCTTCGCAATGTGTCCAATTTCGGCTAGGGAATGACCCTGGCCCATTCCATACAAGTGCTCTGGTACCTCTGGTTACGAGCTGCTTGATGATCTCGTCGTCGCTCTCGGGACCGTCTCGGTGCACGACAATCTTTCCATTCTCTTGCTGCCAGGGCCCACTGAATATCGCCAGCAATTCATTCCTCCGAAAAACATTCTCAGGTGCGTCTGGCAGTACTCGGTTCAACTGTCGCACGTGCCACAAAGAGTCGCGGGCGATAAGTGTAGTTCTCTCAATCGATGCAGCACAAAGAACGCGGCGAACTGCGCCGCGAAACAGCTTCAAGTGGTTCTGGAAAGATAATGACAAGGAAACGTGCTTCAGCTTGGAGACCGTTGGCTTCATCAAATTGCATACCTCTTCTCTCGCGTTACAACACTTGTGAACGAAACACTGTGTGCGAAGCGTTGCCACCATCTGCTTACTCGTGTCTTGCCCATGTACTCGTGCTCGTTCAGCCCTCTCGATGGCGCCGTCTCCGTCGCTGGCGGAGAGCCGCTGGACTCGCTTGAATCTGGAACCGATGGAGTCCACGTCCAACAGATCTTGCAACAAGTCAACGCACAAATAAAAGTTTGATGATGTAGTCCGTGACATGCACAGCAGGGGCAAGGGTGGCTTCCACGTGAACAAGATCCACTTCGACTTGTAGTGAACCAATGCTCCAACAGCGATTTCTGATTGTAGCAATTTTGCAACCCCCGTGTCCCTCTTATCACTCTCGCCAGCGGTGCCCTGAGGTAGTGCTTGTAGTTTTTTCAATATCTCATCTGGCACGCCGTACAGCTCGTCCTGGTCGATAAGCGTCATTGTCATTGGAGTCTCGTCGTATCGCCAGGACGTAGTGAAAGTGTGAAGCACCCCGCCGTCCGAAGACGACACCCTCTCGCAAAGCTGATCGAGGTTGTCTCGCATCTGCCAATAGAACAACAACAATGCTACACATGCTAATCTCGATGATGTCTTCAACAGAACTTTCCTCGTTACCTCCAATCGCTTGGCATGTTCTGTGTAAGTGCTCACTGTGAGCAGCGCACAACGTCTAGATACAATGTCATTCGCAACCTTCTCGAAATTCGCATCCTTTCTGATGCGGTCGATGCTGCCATTCTGAATCAACTTCGCGATGTTTCTGAAGACCTGTGGCGTTCCTCTGATAATATGATTGGCACTACTAACGTCGTGGTCGTGATTGCCAGATTCTCCTCCTACTTCCGGCGGTTCATCAAGTGGTACTGCACCGATTCCGTCGATGTCCTCAATACGTTCTAGGCCACAAGCTGCACCACGTGCAGTCTTTACGAGACGTATGGCCTGCTTTGCTGTCTCTCGAAGCTGCGCTCTGGCAGCGTGAACTCTCATGACTGGAACTGGAACTGGTTCTGGTTCTGGCGGCTCTGGTGGATCTGGCACTGGTGGATCTGGTACCGCTACTATGATGGCACTTTCCTGGTGATCAACGTCGGGTCTCTCTTCTGGTGGGTCGTCCTCCAGGCCGCCGTTCGACAAAGAAATCCAACCTGTTAAGAAATCGTCTATGTGCTGGTCTGGGCTGGCCTCCGCGGCGGCGTGTTCAAGCGAATCTACTAGCCACGGGTTTACATCGAGAGGCTCAAACAAACTTTCATTGTCGCTGGAATCACTTGGCTGTGGTAGCCAATCGTCTACACTATCGGATGCCATGCGTTGCCAACCGCGTTGGCGTTGAGCCAAAGTGGCTGCGGGAGAGAAGCTTTCCTCCCTCCCGCACAGGGGGCCGGAGAGTCTTAAGATATAGCTCCAAGACAGCCCAAGAGGCCTCTAAGTCGGCCCAAGCGCGTTCCAAGATGGCACCAAGACGGCCAAGAGGCTCCCAAGAGAACTCCAAGACTGCCCAAACGCGCTCCAAGATGGCACCAAGACGGCCTCCGAAGGCGCCACAGACGGGTAGGGTCCCCTCAGACGCCCTAAGAGGCCCCAACGAGGTTTTAAGAGCCCCCCTCTTTATTCGGGTGGGCAAGGAACACTCACGTTCCGCGGGCTCCGCGCTGGCGCACCCCCCCCCACTACTTGAAAACGAACACAGTTTCCACGAGTGCCCTTTTGACTTCGAATATGATATACGACTCTGCATCCTCTTCGTTACCACTCCTCCCCTGAGGTTTAACGTTATCGATTTTTTGTCAAAACCATGAAGTGTTTGAAAAGTATTTGAAAAGTATTTTTCTAGAAAAATAAGACCTGATCTGTTCCTACGTAAGAGAACTGCTCAACATTAGTTGCTATGCCATGTTATGCTATGCTATGCCATGATATGCTGCGCAATGCTATGCTATGTTATGCTATGCTATGTTATGCTGCGATATGCTATGCTATGCTATGCTATACTAAGTTATGATATGTCATGCTGCGCTGTGCTATGCTAAGCTATGCTGTGCTATGATTTGCTATGCTAAGCTGCGCTATGATATGCTATGCTATGCTATGCTATACTGCGCTATGCTATGCTATGATATGACTGGCTGTGTTATGATATGCTATGCTATGCTAATGCAGCGCTGCGCTATGCTAAGCTAAGCTAAGCTAGCCCTCTAGGCAGAGCCTAGGTAGGGAATTACACCCATGCTGGGCCGCGCTGTGCTATGCTGTGCTGTGCTGTGCTGCGCTATGCTATGCTATGCTATGCTATGTTATGCTATGCTGCGCTATGCTATGCTGGGCTATGCTATGATATGCTGTGCTGCGCTATGCTATGCCACGCTATGCTATGATATGCTGTGCCATGCTATGCTAAAGCTCAGCAAAGCTAAGATGAAGGTAAGCTAAGCTAAGATAAACCTGAGCTAACATGATGCTAAGCTAAGCTAAGATGAAGCTAAGCTAAGCTAAGATTAAATAAGCAACGCTAAGCTAAAGGGACGTAGCTGGGGGAACCGCGGGGCGGATACTGGGGGAACCGCCCGGGGCGCTTTCCACTGCCCGGCCCCTTTAAGCCCAGAGAGTAAGAACCCTTCTAGGCAGAGCCTAGGTAGGGAATCTGGAAAAGAAGACAACTTCCATTATTGAAACTGGTGCCAACTTTGAACACGAATGTGCGCTGCGATTCGGCGAGAGCCGCATTTTGAGAAGGAGCCGCCTTCCATCCTTGAAACTGTTGCAGAACTGTAAAACGTGTGTGCGTGTCGCTGAAGCGAGAGCCACATGTTGAAAACCAACCACCCTCCATCAGTGAAACGGTTGCACATTTCAAGCGTCAAACTCATAGATGGTGAGGAAGTCTCAGGCGAAACACCCGGCTCGGTCTACTGACACGCCTGGGGGTGCAACAGTGAGGAGTTAGTTATAAGGAAGGGATAGAGGAGGAGGAGGAGGACGAGGATGAGGAGGAAGAGGAGGAGGATGAGGAAGAGGAGGAGTGGGGGGTCTGCCCTGGCACACGCGCGCGCAGAAGGGGCGGGGAAAAGCCTTCATCTTCGCCTTCTGCACGCTCTCCTGCAGGGCGCGGCCAGAGATTGAACTTTTCGGCTGGGGGATGGAAACCCTAAACGGAGCGGTGCACTCGAACACAGAAATCAATGGACGATGAAGGGGTACATCTTCTTTTGACCAGAACACCCGACAAACGACCGTCGCGGAATATTCGCCGAGAATCACTTGACTTCGAAATGCAATGGCAAAAGGCAGCCGTCACGGAAGTGTAGTCGAACATCGCAGACCCACGGGTGGAGTGAGTAGGACGAGGATGGCGATGAAGAGGAAAAGGGGGATGAAGGAATGGTGGCGGGCAAATAAGTAACTCTACGCTGGTCCTGCAGCAAGATGTGGTCCCGGCCAATGGGAGACATCGCAGGCCTGATGCGGCCGACAAGGAAACAACGACATGGACCTGGAACTGCGCCGAAGAGTTGATGTGTTCATGACCGTCGTCTTGACACCATCTTGCTACGTGTGCACAAACTCCTCCTCTTCCTCCTCCTCCTTCTTCTCGTTCTCCTCCTCCTCATGAGTACTCGTGTGGCACCCTCGCCCGGCTGGCAAATTGAGAGCCACCAAGACAATGATGATGCAAGCGCTGGACCTGCAGGACAAGTGGGAGCAAGAGGAGGACAACGCCGAACACAATGAAGGTAGAGACGGAGGGTGGGAGGGTGGAAAAGGGAGCGGGGAGTACACAATGCCATGCGGAGAATGAGAGAGAGAGAGAGAAAGAGAAACATGATCGACCCACGAACCCGGAAAGGAAAACAGAACTGTAACACATGGCAGCGTTTTCAAAGACACCTGATTGGGTGACGGGCAAATGCAATGCTGAGTGTATCGATCTTGATGTAGTGCCGAAATATGTGCTTCGCAACACCGTGCTGAATTGCGATGTGCCATGGCGCGATTGTGCTCTATAGCGCCGTGGATCGAGTCCTCCTTTGCATCCGAGTCCTGACCGAACTGATCTGGATCTTAAGCTCGAGCTGCCTGAACACATAGTAGCTGCCCCAGAGCTAATGGACAGGGGAACATGCCAGGAGGACGCGCCGCGAACGTCCCAAGGGATGCGCCAGGCGACGTGCCAGGGGACGTGCCATGGGGTCGCACCGCGGGACGTGCCAAGGGGACGCGCTACGGAACGTGCCAATGGATGTGCCACGGGATGTGCCGGGGGACGCGCCACGCGACGTGCCAGGAGGACTCGCCAAGGGACGACCCACGGAACGTGCCAAATTGCAATGCTGAGTGTATCGATCTTGATGTACATAGATACAATGATAAAATGAAAAAACAAAGACAAGACAACCACAAAAGATCATAAATAGAAATAAAAAATAACAAAATAGTGCCGAGGGCTGTGCTGTGCTGCGCCGTGCTGACGGAACGTGCGATGTGCTGCCATGGCGCGACTGTGCTCGCGCCACGCGACGTGCCAGGAGGACTCGCCAAGGGACGACCCACGGAACGTGCCAAATTGCAATGCTGAGTGTATCGATCTTGATGTACAGTGCCGAAATCTGTGCTGTGCTGCGCCGTGCTGAATTGCGATGTGCCATGGCGCGACTGTGCTCTATAGCCTCGTGGATCGAGTCCTCCTTTGCATCCGAGTCCTGACCGAACTGATATGGATCTTAAGCTCGAGCTGCCTGAACACATAGTAGCTGCCCAAGAGCTAATTGACAGGGGGACATGCCAGGAGGACGCGGCGCGGAACGTCTCAAGGGACGCGCCAAGCGACGTGCCAAGGGACGTGCCATGGGGACGCACCGCGGGACGTGCCAAGGGGACGCGCTACGGAACGTGCTGGGGACAAACGTTTCGCTTGAGACATCCTGCCCAAATCCAAAGACATCCTGGCAAAATAAACTAATTAGTCGAGACATCCTCAAAATTCATGCGCGCGGGACGCGGCACGCGCGAGCCATCCTCGGAATTCCTGTGAGCGGGATATGAAAACAAGCATTTTGCCCCCCCACGATGCCCCCGCTCGAGACATCTGCCAATTTTGCGAAACCAGCGTTTCGCTCGAGACATCCTCAACAAATCATGACCAACAAGCGTTTCGCTTGAGACATCCTGTCAAAATCCAAAGGCATCCTGGCAAAACAAACAAATTAGTCTAGACATCCTCAAAATTCCTGCGCGCGGGACGCGGCACGCGCGAGACATCCTCGGAATTCCTGCGAGCGGGACATGCAAACAAGCATTTCGCCTGAGACATCCTCTGAACTCTGCCCCCCCGCGAGGCCCCCGCTCGAGACATCCCGTAATTTTGCAAAACCAGCGTTTCGCTCGAGACGTTCGACCAATTATTTTGTTAAATAAAAAAACAAGCATTTCGCTAGAGACATCCGGTCAAAAACCAAGGAAATCCAAAACAAACGAGCGAATTAGTCGAGACATCCTCGAAATTCCTGCGCGCGGGACACGGCACGCACGAGACATCCTCGGAATTCCTGCGCGCGGCCTGCTTTTCCGCGTCGGGGTCGGGGCTCCAGACTTAGTCTTTGTTCGAGGATTCTGCTAAAAGTCCCCCGCACCTTCTTTTTTACGAAAGAACACGGTGGTCAGCGGACCCCGTTATTTATAGAGGATCCGAGATGGGGGGTCGACTTTCCTCGAGCGGGCACGCGCGAAACGCATTTTTTTCACGCCGAATTGGACTGGGTTTTTATCGAGAATAATTCCGCCGGCCCCCTTCAAATCAAAACCGGAGGGTAAACCAACTAAAAGAGAACCCTGGGCCCACGCCCTTTCCGGGAGGAAAAAAAAAGCAGGAATGCGTCCAAGTTGCCCGAACGCAAACGCTAGCTGAAATGGAGGGACGAGGAGGGGCTGACGGGCCACCACTAACGCGGTGGCTTGCCCTCCCTCATCCTCTTGATACGGTGCCTTTGCACCGCCAAAATCGGGGGCTGGTCCGAGGGGCCCTTGCAGGGCCGCTTGAGGGCCACCACTTCACCCGAATCCCCGACGTGGCAGGCGCAGCGTTCACAGAACGCCACGCCGTTGACCTCGGCCATCCGATGGCCGAGGTCGTAGAACAGGGCCCAGGCCGCAGGGTCCCGCCCCCGAGACACCGACACCCGGGGTCCCAGGGAGGACGCAGAGGCCCAACCGCACGATGGCACAGGCCCCGAGGCCCGCCCAGCGAGCGCCGAAGCCGACCCCTCACCCGATGCCGGAGGTGGTGGCCACCAGGCCCCACAACAGAGACAACGGGCGCACGCAGCTCGGGCTGGGGGGCTCTGGTTCTGGCCCCCTCCGACGGCGACCCCGACGAACAAAGCCCCAGCTCGATGAGACGCCCCCCAACCCAGGCCAATTACTTAGGAAACTCCGGGGACTCCTTCAGGGCAAGTCTATACAGGTCAGCCGTCCCTCGCCCGACAGCATCACCCGAGGCCCCCAGTTTAGCAACAAATCGGCCCAGGCATGCCCGAGGACATAGCAAAACGGGCCCTGCTCATGCCCCAGACAAACAGCCTCATCGAGGTCCTTATGGGCAGGGCACCAGTGCACAACAGGGCGCCCCCCCCCTAGACTCGACCACAGCGTGAATCTGCCTCCAGACAGCCGCACGCTTGCCTGCTGACCTAATGGCAACCGAACTCCATTCGAACGCTTCGCGGGCCAGTCCAAGGAGGTCAGTGACCACAATCTCCACCGACGGTAGATTTTGCAAAATACGCAGCATCGCCACGCTCTCCGCTTCGCCGACAGTCTGACTTGGCCCCGCGAGCCGCCCATAGCAGGCGCGCAACGGGAGCCCCGCATCAGACATCTGGACAAACGTCCATCCACAGCTGCGAATTTCAGGCTGGTTGGACCACCTCCCCGAGCCGTCTGTGAAAACAACGTTGTCTCGCTGACATGAGGGGGGAGTCCAATCACGGTGGGTCTCGGGGCGGCGGCAGACAGGGGCCTGGAAGCAAAAGCATGCCCTCCGAGAGTTCAAAACTGTGCGGATCTGAAGCCCCGCGGCGCCCGATCGGACCCTGGGCAAACATGATCGACCCACGAACCCGCAAAGGAATATAGAGAACTGTAACACATGGCAGCGTTTTCAAAGACACTTGATTGGGTGACGGGCATCTTGATGTACCCTGCCGAGGGCTGTGCTGTGCTGCACCGTGCTGAACTGCGATGTGCCATGGCGCGATTGTGCTCTATAGCGTCGTGGATCGAGTCCTCCTTTGCATCCGAGTCCTGACCGAACTGATCTGGATCTTAAGCTCGAACTGCCTGAACACATAGTAGCTGCCCAGAGCTAATGGACCAGGGACATGCCAGGAGGACGCGCCGCGAAACGTCCCAAGGGATGCGCCAGGCGACGTGCCAGGGGACGTGCCATGGGGTCGCACCGCGGGACGTGCCAAGGGGACGCGCTACGGAACGTGCCAATGGATGTGCCACGGGATGTGCCAGGGGACGCGCCACGCGACGTGCCAGGGGGACTCGCCAAGGGACGCCCCACGGAACGTGCCAAGGAACGTGCCAAGTGTCAATGCTGAGCGTATCGATCTTGATGTACCGTGCCGAAATCTGTGCTGTGCTGCGCCGTGCTGAATTGCGATGTGCCATGCCGCGATTGTGCTCTATAGCCTCGTGGATCGAGTCCTCCTTTGCATCCGAGACCTGACCGAACTGATCTGGATCTTAAGCTCGAGCTGTCTGAACACATTGCAGCTGCCCCAGAACTAATTGACAAGGGACATGCCAGGAGGACGCGACGCGGAACGTCTCAAGGGACCCGCCAAGCGACGTGCCAAGGGACGTGCCATGGGGACGCACCCCGGGACGTGCCAAGGGGACGCGCTACGGAACGTGCTGGGGACAAGCGTTTCGCTCGAGACATCCTGCCAACATCCTCAGAATTCCTGCGCGCGGGACGCGGCACGCGCGAGACATCCTCGGAATTCTTGCGAGCGGGACGATAAAACAAGCATTTCGCCTGAGACATCCTCTGAATTCTGGACCCCCGCCAGGCCCCCTACGAGGCCCCCGCTCGAGACATCCCCCAATTTTACAAAACCAGCGTTTCGCTCGAAACGTCTTCAACAAATTATGAAAGACAAGCATTTCGCTCGAGACACCCTGCCAAAGTTCAAGGAAATCCTAGCAAAACAAACGAATCAGTCGAGACATCCTCGAAATTCCTGCGCGCGGGACGCGGCACGCGCGAAACATCTTCGGAATTCCTGCGCGCGGGGAGCTTTTTTCGGCGTCGCGGTCGGCTCTGCAAAACCAACGTTTCGCTCGAAACGCTGAAACAAATACTGAAAACAAGCGTTTCGCTCGAAACATCCCCAACTCTGCAAAACCAGCGTTTCGCTCGAGACATCCTCAACGCGTTTCGCTCGGGACAT